AAATCTATTTAAAAAAAAAAAAAAAAATTGGCCCTAATCCTCTTCCGTAGTTCAGCCTGTATGAGAACCCTCCTCTCTCTCCCTGCCGGTCTCCCGCTTCCCACCATCATCACTGTCAAATTGGGAGCCTGTCTCTATGACAACGTAGTACAGGCGGGGTTTGCCAGCTGGAGGCAGAGTCAATCAGTCCTCAGTTGGCATCACAGCTCGAAAACCTCCACACCGCATCACGCCCTGGGTGGAATGGAAGAAAAGGACAAGAAAGAAAATGTATGTAGCTGCTTTTTTCTTCGTTTAACGCCGCATGCATTGAGACGTTTAATACTGAACCGCTGAGGATGGTGGGAAACAAAAATCCAGGAGCAGAGTTTGTGCAGCTGAGTCACTGATTGTTTTAGGATCCGAATCAATAAAGCTATTGTTCCCATCGGTGCCATAGGTTGCAGCGCACCGCAGACTGCATGATGAGGGACCGGCTCATAGATCCTCCAGTAATAAAGTGTCTTGTCTGTGGAGCGGTAGGCCTCGTGCTCATCTGTGCGTGTACACATCTCTATTGTTTCACAGGGGGAGTACATCGGAGAGATAAAGGGTGGGCTGCGGCCTTCAATGAAACTGGTTGTTATGGGAATTATTAACAAGAAACCCAAAAGGTTAGTGCACACACACACACACACACACACACACACACACACACACACACACACACACGCACACACCTGTTTTCAATCTGCAAGGAAGAGCGAATTGTACATTATTAACGTACTGTTGCGCACATGACGTGGCAGCCAATTAAAGTCAGTGATAAAGATGCCCTGGCTGCCAATAAAACAGATTTTTAAAGCAGATACAGCTGCTGTCTGTGTTTGAGGGCATATGCCAACCTCGCAGCGAGTCCCCGTGCAGGGAAAATATCCTTGTGCGTTTCCTAATTATAGGTTAGTCCGTGAATGTGCGTGGGAGAGCTGCAAATCCCATGAAATCTAAAGAGTCACTGTGGAAATTCTTTGGTTGATAATATCATCGGGTTGTTTATTCAGTCAGTCATCAATTATGTCCAGTAAAACATCACAATTAGGCTACACAAAAAAAACACAGCGAGCAAAAATAAACTTCTTTTTTTATGTAAAGAAACTTATTTTTGGCTGCAGAAACATCAGCAGGGTTTTTAAGGACAGACGCTCGAAGGGCCAATTTCCTCAATACTGACTGTAACAGGACAGTGTTTATTTTAGATCTTTCCATTTTCATTTTATTTCTCTTTAGTCTGCTGTTAATATCACCAAAAAATATGCAGCCAAACACGTTTGTCGTCTTGGTGCTCAGATTGGGTTCAAATAAAATGTACATTCACAAAAAAACTGTAATAAAGAAACAAAATTCCCTGTAAAATGGGAAAGTTGTACACAAGTGTGTTGTTTGTGACGTTTTAGCTTTGGTCCAAAGGAAGAGCTGCAATCAAAAAAGAAATATTCAATTTATCTTTTTGTTTAAGTCATGATACCTCATTGTCAGAATACTCAATACTCAAAATGTTGCTGAAGTTATTTTACAAAAGGATATCAAAAATAAAAGTTGTCATTATGCAGAATGGCCTCTGTCAGTGTTGTATCCTCGTATTATTGGACCATTGTTATATGAGTATAATGTAAGACGTAATTGGTGAAGATGAAGCTTATTTTAAATTAAATTTCTCATTATTTTGTTTGTAAAATCTTAATCAGCAAAGTAATTTTTATTATCATAGTTAAATAAATGTAGTGCAGTGAAAAAGCAAAATATCTCGCCTTGACATTAGTACATGTACCTTTAACTTCTACTGAAGTGCAGTGCAGGAAATGTTCTTTGTTTTTTTCCACTGCTGAAAATTGAATGAGAAAATGAAGAGTGAGATCCATCGTTAGTGATGTGTGAGATCTCACTGACACTGATTAAGATCATCTGATATTCAGACGTCATTAAATGCCTCATTACCAGATTATAGTTATCATGAAGACCAGGAGATGTCACTGTTCTCCACGTAATCTGGACAGGAAGAAAGAAAGAAAGAAAGAAAGAAAGAAAGAAAGAAAGAAAGAAAGAAAGAAAGAAAGAAAGAAAGAAAAGCTAAATGTCAGTCTTCACATTTTAGTATTCTGCACCACTCTGTCTGTCCCTGATGTCCGTGTGTGTTTCCTCAGCATTGAGCTCACTGTGTCCACGAAGCCTCAGGACGCGGACACGGAGGGCGACGTGGGTCTTCTGCTGAAGGTCAGCTTCATGGATAAGGCCGTCCAACGCAACGCCCGCCTGGCTGGAAAGTGGGGTCCGGCTGAAAACACCCTCTCCTTCTTTCCTTTCGCACCTGGAGAATCCTTCAAGGTACTTTAAAAAAATATATGTCTGACTGTTTTTGCACTGAGACCGGATGATTGTAACGTGTGAGATCTGGGGAGTGACCGGTGTTACACTCACAGTGAATCACCCTGTGACACAGTCAGCCTTTAAAGCTGCACCATAAGCAACTTTGCATGTTTGGTTGCCACGGTAACATGCTATTGTTTGTCACTGTTAGGATAAAAGTAGTAGAGGTGATTATCTTTTATGGTTCTGTTTATCTTCTTCCTCTGGAGTCTAGACAGAGCACGGAGTTGCTGCTGTTTACATGATGTTCATACATTTAAAATACTTTTCTTCTCTCTTCTCTAAATAAAAGTCATATTTACAATAAATTTAGAATAATTTGTGCCTAACAAATATAAGTCCGTACGTACTTCCTGCCTCATAAAACATTTGTAAAAAAAGAAAAAAAGTAAATCTCCCTGCACCTTTGCTGCTGCATTATTAAGTTTCTTGTTGCGTTGCTGCCACCGACACTTGATGAGTGTAAAACCCATGTTAGTGCATGTGAATGACATGAAAACATTGCTCCATAGTCCTAATGATAGCCTAACATTTCACAGCGTCTCTTTAATTGTGTAAATATGTTTTGGGAAACTCCAAACGACACAAAAAGACAAAGCTAATGACTGGTCCGTCACTGGTCGACTTCCCTGTTGCAGCCCCGGCTTGTGAGTCAGGCTGACACTAAGTTTTAAGTCTAAAACATGCAGCTTTAAATATAAACTAGAATCACCTCCTCCACTCAGACCAGTCTCCGGTCACAGGTTATTTATCCAGAGTCAATATAAAATATGAAGCGTTTGTGTGAAATTTTATCATAATTTCTGTAAAGTCTTGAGTTATGGCTAAAAAGGGTTTCATGAGGTCACACTGACCTTGACCTTTGACCTTTAGCCACCAAAATGTAATCAGTTCATCCTTAAGTCCCAGTTAGTGTTTGTGCCAAATTTGAAGAAGTTCCATCAAGGCGTTACTGAGACGTCGTGTCCACGAGACGGACGAACAACCTGAAAACAACATGGCTGCTGCTCTGACTGTTGTCGACGCGGAGGAATAAAAACATGCAGCTTTAAATATAAAAACTAACCCCCCCCACCCCCCGTATTCTGTCCGACTCTTAGATGGAGATCGTTTGCGAGCACCAGCAGTTTCGTATCCTGGTGGACGGACAGCCTCTGTGTGGCTTCACCCACCGGATCCCCAAGCTCGCCTCCCTCACCTCCTTACGAGTCTTTGGAGACCTACAGCTCACCAAGGTGGCCTAACCCCCGCAGACGAACGACACCAGGACGTCCCGGGACAGCAGACAATACACACGATTAGAATAGAACTACTTCTTGAGTGACTAAATTGACCCCACGATGGGGATGTTGTGTTTCCAGTTCCAAACAAAGTTTTACCTGCCTCGTAATCACGTGTAAAGTCTAAGTGCCTTCACTAGATTACCTGTTTGGGGACTTGAAGATACTGACTGAATGTAACAGTCATCAATGTCTTAAATCAACTGAGGAATGTGATTTGAACTGAAGTGAATTAAGTTTTAAACAATGCGGTCTAAGCTTCGATATTTTTCCCTCCATGAACGTTTGTACAAACATGATGTGTCAGCAGTAAAAGGAGCTGCATCAGGCTTTGTGCACTGAAACCAGGTTTCAGATGGTTCGTTCTTTGATTTCTCTGGAGTTAACCTTTGAAAGCACTTACGTTTACGAGCGCCTGCATGAAGATGAATGTTTTCTGAAATCAGCTGATTGTCATTCTGTGGCCGACTAAGTACTGTAACAGGTGTAACAATGTAAAATGATTTAAGTAGCCTACATTAGTGCATGTCAGTGTTTCTCTCCTCTGAGTTTATCTCCACTTTTACACATTAGATTATTACGTCACACTTTCTGTTACTGCACCGTCATCCACTAACGCCCGCTGGTTCCCGTCCGTTTCATTTACCACTAGCACTTTTTATGTGAATGTTACATATTGACTTTACTTCACTGCAATAAATCACTTTTGTTGTTATTTTTTTTTTTTGGTTGTTGTTTTTCCCTCTGTGCTCGTGTAACTTCTACTTGGACTTCCTCCAGCGGCGCATCATGTTTCATATCAGGCGATTCCAGCGGAGTAAGGCTGTGAAGCAGCAGCGGCTCAGCCTGAGTCACTCAGATAAAGGCTGGACTCAGCTTGCTGAGTGGGAGTGTCAGTCTGTTATTGCAGGGAGCGCCTCCAGCAGCCGGCCTGCACTCAAACCCCATGACTGTGACAACCTCCTCCCCGGGCGTCTCTTGTCTGTACTTGCACGTCCTCTTGCTATCAGATCCTTTACTTAAAGATAAACGAACCCTATAAACCCAATGAAAATACTCCACCCCTGAGATAATTGATGGGGTAGGAAACAAGAAAAAGTTCTGCTGCACAAATATGTAAAATATTGTTTTTGAAATATTGAATAACTGTACAAACCTGGTTCTCAAATTCTTACTGAAATAAAAACATTTTTGAAGTTTAGAGGAAACAGAAATCTGAGAGTCGACAGAGGGGCCACATGTTGCTTTTTGCAAAAGAAAAAAAAAGGTGCAAACCACTAATTTAATATTTAACACTGTATTTTATTTTGTCAGATATAAATCAAAATCACTTCATCTGAAAATGAACGAGTTATTTTCACTGTCAGAAGTAGCAAGCACCTCAAAGCCGTGGCTCAGTACTGGAGTAAATGATTTCTGCAGCACTGAGTGTGGAGACGTATCAAGCTGTTTATGTTTATATTTAATGTTGAAGAAATCATGTAAAACACATTAAAAAAAAAAAAACCCATTTACATTAAACTGAATATGTCACAAGAGAAATGCCACAGTTTTTAAAAGCAGTTAAATCGTCCTGGTAGAAACTTTAAAACACAGAATCAGGAATGTTACGTAACCGCTGCCACGTTCATTTCGATCGCATGCTCCCTCCCTGTTGCTACGGTACATTCATGGAATGTGTAAATGGACTCTCCGTCAGAACAGGAAGCTGCTGCTTCACGTCTGCTCTCTGATGGCGTCGATCCAGTCCATCTTCTCCTGCTGCGTCGGAGCCTGGATGAAGTAATGTGTGTCTGAGTGAGTGATGATTTTAAACAGGTTTCCCTGAATGTTTCCTTTCACACCTGCAGAAGATAAATCAAGGTCGTTATTTATAATCAATTAACATGGAAAACAAAAATAAAATGTAATATATGACATAAATGTGCCTGTATCAAGAGTGAGGTTTCCATATGTGTCACCTGTAAGAGGATTTATTATCATCACATATATATATATATATATATATATACACATATATATAATGGTTTATTAAAACAATATACATTATTCTATATGTTCATATATGTTTTTCTTATTAATTTTAAACATGTTTCTTCACATTCTGGGAAAATGTCTCAGACTTTTGGACTCTACTGTTTATAATGTAAACACGTGTTAAAAGGCTTTATACGTATGTCTGGTTTCATATGTAGTTTTTACATATGTGTTTTTATTTTATATGTATATGGAAATTCAACATATGTAGATGTATTAAGTTTGTGTGTGGGGAGGAATAAGAGGATGTTGTTGCTCATCCTGTCTTACAACAGTTTGTTTTTAAAAACGATGTTTTCGAGGCGTCACCGCAGACGGCGACTCACCTGAGGGAACGCCGTTATCGTCCAGAGAAGACACCAGACAGCTGCGCAGTGAGAAGCCGCCCGCCGGGCTGAGGTCATCCTGAGGAGTGACACAAGACAGGAAGTGGATCAGACTGACTCAGGACTGTGGAGGGGAATTACTGGGAATTATGGGTATTATGAGTAATGACCTGAGGCAAAGGTAAAACAAAACAACTGCTTAGTTTGAGCCTTTTGTCATCATCCAGGAGTTCACCTACATCATGGGATCTGAGCTTTATATATTTGTTATGTCCATCAATCTGATTCTTTTTTAAGTTTAACCAGATGATTAGTTTTTAAAACGTCCTGTAAGTGATTGTAACAGTAGTTTATTGCCTGCACACTCACCTTGGTGGGATCGTAGTAGTGAAGGAACGCAGGTTCTGAACGCAGCACAAACAGTCGCACCTTCCAGTTCTTCCTCCTGTGTCCCTGCGTGTAAAGATCATTTACAGTGTCACTTTGACACATTCACTCTCACAAATACAAACAGTGATTTTAAGTTGTGTTCAACAGTCTCACCAATAGTTAATAAAACACTTATTGATGCTTTATACATCAGTTATAAGCCAGTAATGAGATCACAAGTTGGGTTGCCAGGTTTGGCCACTGGCGGGTGTTTATCCCATGTTTTAATGATTGTTATTAATCCATTAATCCAGAGGTTTCTCACTTTGTAATAATCCATCAGTTCTGCAGCTAGAAATGTGAATAAATTGTTAATAAAAGTTTTTTTTACATCCATGTAATCTGCTCTTGTAAATGTTAGTAAATTGTTGATAAATGGATTTTGTGATCTCCCAAAGGTTGTTGTTATTAATGGCTTATAACTGATCTATTCATCAACCATTAGTTATGCCATTAGTTATAAGCTATTTGGAACTGGTGTTAAATATGAACTCGGGGCTAATTCACCTGTTTCAGCAGAAATCCTCTCTTTATCACTTTCCCGCTCAGCTCCACTGCAGACAGCGACGTCTCCGCCTTCACGCTGCCTCTCTTCTTTAAGTTTTCAGACTGTGATTAAACACAAACACGTTGTGAACCGAGCAGAACCTCCGCCTGCTCAGACGGATGTAAGAAGAGGATTAACGCTCACAATCAGGGGTCAGAGGTCAAAACGCTCAAACTCAGTGCTACTCACGAAGCTGTACAGAGCGGTGGAGTCGTCCATGAACTGCTCGCTGAGCCCGGCGGTGCGCAGGGCCTCCACGCTCTTCAGGCCGACCGTGCGCAGGAAACCCTCCTCCAGCAGGGCGGAGGCCAGCGTCACGGCCTCCACACGGGTCAGAACCAGCTGCATGAACACCAGCCAGTCCACCACGGCTGAACCTGCAGGGACGCCACACACCTAAAGCTATACGTGCATGTACGTACACACTGTACTGTGATATGCTCATGGAGTCAGACATAAACCCAGCGGATACATGAAGACGTGATTTAAATAGATGCAGCACTAGATACAGACTGAAGAGAACAAGCTTCATATATTCAGGTGTTTTATTGTTTTCCTTGAGCCTGGCTTTAAACACACACACTGGCTATAAACAGGTTTATATAGATGCAGGTGCTTTAGAGACAGAGACAGACAGGGACAGTCTGAACAGACACCTTACTTGTTTATTATTGTTTTTCTCTCCCTGTCAATAAATCTCATGTATTTAAATGTATAGCAATAATATGTTGTTATGTTATATTATCACTTTCTTAGTCTTGTCTAGTTGTTTTCACCAAATAAATTTTAAAAAAGCAGATTTTACAAATGTATTTACTCGTCACCGTGTCTGAAGTTGTTGTTCTAAATTCTTTATTAGTCTTATATATATATATAATATATATGTTTTGAACTGTCTCTGTAAAATACAAATTAACTCATATTGCTTAAAAATCCAATGATATCATTCAAAACTTAATTTAAATATCAATAATTGCTAAAGATACGACCTGTAAGCTACAGTGTGTCCCAGTTATGAACCGAGCTCCATCCTGCAGAGAGCAGAGGACAGACGGCAGGCTGCTGTCGTCTCAGATCAGATCACACCTGACAGGTAAAAGAGGAAAGAGGCTCACCTGAGAAACAGTTGCTGTAGCTGCTGCCCTGCTCCACGTGAGTGCTCATCTTCATTCCACTGTGGACGTCGTACATGGAGTCCAACACTTTGCTTTAAGACAGAAGGAAAAAGAGAAACATGTCAGATGTAAAAACAGAGGCAGTGAAAACACCACAGGGTTGGACGTTTACGTGAAGACTGTGGGAGACGTTTGTTGTTTACCTGAGATCAATGTTGTGTAACTGGGAACCATCAGGCTCTTCCTGGTTCGTCATCTTCCCACCATCAGCCGCCCGCAGCCGGTCGACGGCAGCCGTGATGTCAGCTGCCCACTCGTCCCGCTCCTCTCGGGAACAAGCCTCCAGGAAATGATCCACTCCGTTTACTGTCTGGAGCTTGAACACCAGCTAAAAATAGAGAAGGGAGATTTTTTTTATCATTAGCACCAGAGGACATTTAAAAATCTGCAGAACGGGAAACATGAATTGAAAAGTTGGATGATGGATGATGGAAGTCAGGTCCTGACGAATCATGAACCTGAGGGAAAGTTCTGTCTCATCAAAACAAGGTGTGAAAGGATGAAGCCCCTCCCCCACTGAGGAGTCTACCCATTAAAACATAAACAAAGGAAAACAGTGAACGCAACATCAGCTGCTCGAATATAAAAACATCATTATATATTGTTAAAGTAATAATTATGACATTAAATTTATTGTTAATTTGTAATTTGACGATTACAAAAATCACCCCCCATTTTATTGGCTTTATAATGTAATTTAGAGAATAAATTAAAACTCTTGATCTTATTACGTTTAATAACTTTAAAGAGGAATAATCTGGTATATTTTTTGTCTCAGTTTTATTGAACTGTAGTTGTTTGTATTGTTTGTATATTTGATTATTTGGATCGATCACAGAAGAATCAGATTGAAAACAAATGATGAAGGTACATTAATGAACTTGACTATAAAGTAATTTTCTGATTGTGCTTTGACAGTAACGTTCAGGTCTTCGTGTTCACCTGGTCTCAGGTGTTTCAAACAGACGAGCTGAGGTTAAATCCACAGTGTTTAAACAGGGATTAGGAAATGTCTCCCGTCTCAACACTGTTTAAATGAAATGACTTTTCAGAATCAGTTTTCTGAAACTTTCCTGTAATCCTATAAAAACCTCCGGTGCCTGAAACAAACTCACCGGCCGATTTTCACAGTCCAGAAAAGGACAAGTCAGCACACAGTCCTTCAGCAGGATCTTCCCTCGCTGACACGAGTCTCTTTTCCCTCCCTCGTACTTGTAATACAGCAGCTTGTCTGGCATCAACACAAACCAGCGCGCCTTCCAGTTGTGTACAACGTGACCCTGGAAGCAGATGAGACAGGACAGTTAGAAAAACCGGCTGCTTGGATTTAAGATCCGTCTGAGAAGAAGCCAAAACTCTGTCAGACAAATAGAAATCTCCATCACCACACTGACTCCTTATCTCACAGCTTCTGAACTTTGATCTGTTCCACAGAAATCTCTCACCCTCTTCACCAGGAATCCTTCTCTCAGAGTCGAGGTTTTCTTGTCTGGATCCATGTTGTTCAGTGCGACCTGGACGAATGAGCTGCCTGTTGCTGCTCGCTCAGGTTTTCAGTCTTCAGGGGAGTTTTCTTTTTTTCCTCTGTGGCTCTCTGAAGTCGTCACCCTGTTCACACCCAAGCACACACACTCACACACACTCACCTTGCTCAACACACATGCGTGTTAACCCACGCCTGTAACTCCTGCCTGTCGCCACAGGAGGGCGCAGCGCCTCCTTCAGAGGGAGGGGGAAGATGTTTTTGGTGAGAGCTCATGATTCCTGAAATGTTTTCCCTCCACAACAACTTCGTCTTCCATCCTGGAGACGAAGCTCCGAGCAGATGAGACGTGTTTTTATCCCATTTTGATGAAAAACCAGCAGCTGGTGGTCGAGCACAGCTGCTGTTCAGGTCTCATTCAAATGTTAATTCCTGCAAAGTGCACAGATACCTGCTTAACGAGAATATGTTGTGCATGAAAGAGGATTGTTACTGAGGCTCCTGCTTCTGAAGCCACACGAGGCCCCGCAGAGCTTTTCTCCTCCGTCTCCGTCTCCTTTTCCTGGTTCCTGGTTCTCACAGAACAAAGAGCACAATAAGGAAGAGGAGACAGTCTTTACTTTCAGCATCATTCCTGGAAATGACTCAGTCTCTCTACTCGTCAAACTTTCTGTTTCACACTTCTGCTCTGAACTGACGCTGCTGAAAACAGGATCACCTTAGAGAGTGAAAGACATTCATCCTGTTTGCATTGGAACTAATGTTGCTCTGTCACACGACCCTCGTATCGTGGTTTTTATGTGTTATGGAACCAGAACCAGAACCAGGCCTGTGTGTGAGAAGACATGTTGTAAATAAGAAAATGAGTGTTGGCTGGATTCCATTTAGCTGCAGGGTCGTAGGTGTGTTGCATGCTGGTTCACCGTCACACTGCCATGTCTGACTGGGACACTTAAATAAATTTGTAAAAGCTGCATAGAGCCTGTTGCTGTTGTTTTGTTTTGCAGTTGAAACCACTGCGATTGCTTCTCTAGGATTTCTTCTCTGGGTCTGAAAAATGAAAACCTTTAAACTCAAACAAAGACTCTGAATTCCTGCAGGATTCTTTAACGGTGGCTGAAGAATCCAGCAGGAAAATGACAGTATGAATTATCTGTTCATGCAAAAATGACCTTGACAGACTGAGGCAGCTGCTATATTGTCGATGTCAGCTTATTGCAGATAGATCTGTTTGTGTAATCGTCAGACAACAACAGAAGAAATTGCAATAAAGAAAAAATATCAAGGATGTTGCAGAGAGAGAGAGAGAGAGAGAGAGAGAACAGGTGAGAGAGAGAGAACAGGTGAGAGAGGTTTACACCATGGAGAGAATCACAGCAGGATTACAGTTGAGAACAGACAGGTTCGCTGAAACATGGTCACCATTAATATGAGCAATGCAATGCTATTTCACAACTACTTTTATGTGTATTTTTATGTTTAGTTGCCTTGTTTGTTTGATGTCATGCTATCAAACAAGCTAACAAATGCTACAGTGACAGGAGCGTTAACTGAGGGACTGAATGACTGATAATGTAGAAGGAACTCTGTCATAAAGTTTGGAACAGATGTAAAAGAAACACAAGTTAAAACAAGTGTAATAATATAATCTTCTTCTCCAGGTTGAATGATTGATGTTGAATAAAAACTCCAGTGTCAGTCAGACAATAACTAAAATAAAACTGTAGATTCTTCTTCTTCCTCATGTCAGTTTTTATTCTGCATGAAAACTAAAGGAAGTGTTAGTGTTGAACTGTCACGGCTCTCCTGGCTGAGTCTCCACAGTGAAGGACTCTGCACGTACAGGCACGCGGTCACGAGACAATGGGAATGTGTCGGGCCGAACTGAGTGTCAGGAAGAAAGAAAAGAATCGGTTAAACAAGGAAACAATAACCTAAATCCTGCTTCACAGTCTCAAGCACCTCTCCGGAGGCGAAGTCAAACAAACTCCTCAGAGCTGAAGTCTGTGAAGCCAAGTCGCAGGTGAAGGTGTGTCTGGAATGCCCTCTGTGTAACATTAACCATAAATCAAACATTAATTACGTAAAAAAAAGAAAAAAGAAATGATGGTGTTTTGGCACGCCAGGATATGAAGGGCTCTGACGCAGGTCGGCTCACGTGGAGCGCCAGGTTGTCCTGGTCACACACACTTAAAACACAAACACCCCGCCAGACTCTGTTTTCTTGGTCCACAGTCTTATTGTTCGCTGGGTGTGTGTTTGCGTGTCCTCGTCCACAGCTGGTTACACAGAGCGTGTGGCTGGTCAATCTCATCCTTTATGAGACTGAAACTGAGACAGGAAACAGAGACCTGAGGGGTTTTATTCCCACATGAGCACAAATCTTTCTGTTAAAGCTGCTGCTTCTTGTGCAAAATTGATTATTTGAAAAGTAAAGATGGTTAAAGAGGAACTAAATTTGCATTTGTTTGCGAGTAAAGAATCAGATTCCACTTATTTCCAGTGATAATGTCTGGTAACTGTTGTTTCTTAACAAACTGTCAATTGAAATAAAATTCCTCAACTTTCCAAAAGGCTGCAGGTGAAAGATTGTTTTGATTTTCTGTCGTCACTCCTCACATGTGGAGGATGAGGTCGACCGTCGACAGCAGTTACAGCAGATTGCCTTGAAAATGAAATGGTGAAATGGTGAAATGGTGAAATGGTGAAATGGAAAAAACAAGATGTTCCGGGGTCAGGAGCAGAAACTCTGTGGCGGCAGATTCTCCTGCTGTTTGCTTTGACATTTCTCAATCTGTGGCCCCTTCAATAAAAAGTGACTAATGACACAGCGGTTTATGGATGTTGACCCATTTTACAAGTGCTGCAGACCGTGTGTGTTGTATGCTGAAGAAGACCTTGGCCTGTTTTCCCTCCATGTGGCACCTCGCCCACAAACCAGCTCCTGTATCGTTCACGTTCAACTTAAATTCTTCCAATATCAGAGATTCTCCTGTTTCTGAACTTCTTTCAATAAACACACACTCACTGATTTCATATTTCAGAACAACACCTGCTTTTAATCATTAAACTTTCGACATTAAACGTTAAATACATTTAAAAAAAAAAAATTAAAGTGCTTTTTATGAAGCATACAGCTAAGGTTTGATACATCCGCTGCAGTGTTGTACAGTAACATGACTTCCTGTAAAGTTAAATTAGGGAAAGGGAAAACCTTCTCGCTCACCTTTCAGGGAATTAAAGGACAAGTCTGTAGATTCTCTACATTTTTCTTATTGTCAGTAAATCCCATGAAAAGACCAAAACCAACCGTGAACTGATCAACAAGAAAAACCTTCTTTCATTGTTCTCAAGAGACAGTTCAAACATCTCAGAGATCTTCCTTTATTATAAAGAATGTGCTTCTTTGTAATAAAGGAACATGCTAGAAATAGTCGCTACTGCTGTTTAAGTAATATTTGCCTAAAGACTACAATCCCAGCTGTTTTAGAAATGAAACTATATATTAATTATTTTTAAAGACTGACATTCAGCAGCAACCACTGGGGTCAGGCTGAGAGTCAGAGACGGGACAGGAAAGTAACGAGATATATACCAGCGTAGTGTTGGTTTCGGTCTTTTTATGTGTGTGTGGTGACAATAAGAAAAATATAGAATTGACATCGTCATCCTTTAAGATGTGTTTTATTTACAGACTGCTAACATGGACGTTTTTATACATTACATGTATATATTACAGTCACTTTCTCTGCTTGTAAACTGAAACAAAGTGACCAGGTTTTTTACTAAAAAGCAGTTATATACAGAAAACGTGTGACTTACAAAACATAGCATTATATACAGCTATAAGTTTTGCGGCTCAATTATTGTTAGTTAAGCAAAAGCTCTATTGTAGTTTAAATAAAATCCTCAATTTCTGCACAAAAAAAAAAACAGTTGAAAACCTTTTTCAGCGTCTACACTTCGTCCAAAACCCCCGTTTACAAACCATCACTGACCACCTGAAGCATCTCTGTGGAAATCTGCTCTGCAGGGCATTTCTTAGCTCGCTCAGCAGTTCACAGTCCGGTCCATCAGAGTCAGCTGTGCGTCAGCGTTACAGGACCGTGTTCGGGCCTGCAGCGCGAAAAACTTGACGTCGGCAGCGCGTAAAAGAGGAAGTCAGGAGAAGAGGTTTTAGGAGGCGCTCAGCCTGTGCCACGCTGCCACCACTTTCTCTGGGTGAGCCATCATGTCCTTCCACTGCTCCACAGCCTCTGGGACGGGGCTGTCGAACCCCAGCTGCAGCTGAGAGAAACATTCAGACACAAGTTCATTTCCTCAGTTTGTGTCACTCAACATCAAAACACATTCAAAGTCCAGTTCACATGTTTGTCTACAGATATGAGGGTCGAAGAATACGGGACTGTTGCAGCCTAACTTGGTCCGGTATGACCAGTAGCTCACGGTGGCTAACGTTAGCTAATGTTTGAACGTGAATAAAGGTGATATTTTTTTTCTTTTCTCAGTAAATGTTGACATTAACGTCGCTGCTGATACTTTGAGCTGATGTCCGTTTTAATGACAGGAAGTTCGTTAGTTTTAGAAGTTATTTGTTCTGGGATGTGAACGTTTTTAAAACAGCTTCAAATAATTAAGGTGCTTTTCGGTGTATTAGCCGCCATGTAGCACGAAAATGTTGTAGTTTTTAATTTACCAAAAACAGTATTTTATAATCAGATGAATAAATAAAAAGTGGAAATTTCAGATTTACAGAATTCTTTTATTCATTTTTGTTTCTCTTACATGAGCTATTTGTAAGTTTTGCTCACGCAACGTAGCTAACGTTAGTATTAACAGCCGTTTAATTACCAGTCTAGAGGAAACATTGTGAGTTCAGTACCAAACTTTATTCCTTTACTTTTGTTTTGCTTCGATTTCTATCATTTGTATTCTTCTACCTAAAGTTAGCATGCTAACCAACTAGCCCTGGCCCCTTCAGACTGTCTCATCACTTTCCGATACCGAGTCACTGTAGCCCTGAAGAAGTAGCGCTGCTCAAGAGACGTATTATCACCTCTTGTCTTGTAAACACAATGACAGGTGAAGCTCTCTGAGAGACTGGTAAGTAAACAGCTGTTAATGCTAACGGTAGCTATGTAACAATATTTTTTTTTTTCCTGTAAAAGGCGGAGTCACATGACCTCACCTGTCCGAGACACTGCTTCCTCCTGACCGAGCTGCGACTGTACAGTTTGACGGACAGCGAGCAGGCGTGGTCTAAAGCTGCCAGTTGGAAGCGAAAAGTCTCCGCCCACTGACACTGACCCCCCGAGGCCTTCATCACCCGAGTCTTCTTCTTCGTCACCGTCCGGCCCAACTGGTGCATCTCCGCCTTGACAAAAAACGCTGCAGAACGACAGCAGTTACTAAGACCAGCCACACGGTCACTCATGGAAGACATCCGGGACCGTTCACCAGTCACACCTACCTTGGGCGAGCGGTGAGGAGGATGCTGGGAGGTTTTGAGCGGCAAGGATCTGGAGCTGGATGCGGCTGTTGACCGGCTGAAAGCAGCTGGTGAGATGCAGCTCAGAGTGACACACCTGAAACACCAAATTCAATCAGTATCTTTAAATGTGCATCTCAGATTGTGTCTAAAAACAAAGAATTTTTCACAATAAAAAAATCTCTTCTTTTCTTTCTCCCTACCCAAATTCAGAGAGCTTTTATTTTGGTGTTTCTCCTCTTCCTTTACTGACAGGTCCCTGTATAAAGATTAATGTTTCCATACGTGTCACATATAATAATGATTTATGATCATCACATATATACATCCTCTGGATACATGAAGATATCAGTTTATAACTTTTAGCTTTTTTCTCATATATTATTATATTATTTCCCTGGTGGCACATACGCAGGAAGCAGGGCAGCGTTTTCTTCTGGAATGAACATGGACACCGAGAACCAAAGATGTAACCAGCATCAAATAAACATTTTATCTTCCAAGATGCATCATCTATAATCAGGTTTTATCAAAAGTGGACGGGCGCTACAGCAGCTACAGGCGCTCAGAGTTTTGACCTTTAATCACAGCTCTCCCCTCAGGACAATGAGTGTTCTCCGTCAGGACGGTTGTTTGGTGTCAAATTGGGAGCTAAACTGTTGGAGTTTGTGACCTTAAAGCCTCAACAGAGTGACCTTTAATTAAAAGCCGAAAAGATGTAATGATCTTAAAAGGCAAGAAGAATCTACAAAGTGCATCAACCGTCCATGTTTTGTCATCAAACATGCAGTTTGAGGTGTTTAATATTTTGACCTTTAATCTGGGGAACCCCCACCAGGCCAGTTATTTAACTCCAGAACAAAGTGGAGAGATGAGCGTCGGTCTGTCGTATTACATTTGACTTTTAAGATAATTACGCTGTAGTATCCAGATATATTGAATTCTTACAAAAGCAAGTAGTTTCATTCTTGAAAATTACATCTTTCTAGTGAGATTCAGATTTTAAAACTTTATTTTGTAACAGACTTTATACAGAGCAGATTAACACTGTGTTAATCCTACTAATATACAGTGTTGTGTTTTTAGCCGTGTTAGCTGGTGCATCACTTTGGCCCAGAATGAAATTTCTCTTCAACTTTTTGATGGATTTTGTATTTTTGTGACATTCATGTGCCTCTCAGTAAACTCTATTAACTTTGATGATCCCCTGATTTTTTTATCTAGTTGCATCTGGTCAAAATTTGAATCTGTCCAATTTGGTTTATGACTAAATATCTGCAAATATAATGACTCTCCCATCAGCTGCAACTGTAATTTTGTTGCTGCTAAACATCAGTATGTTATCATTCCTATATGCAAATGTAATAACCAGTATTTTCATATATGAATTATATTTAATGATATATATAAATATATATATATATATATATATATATACGTAGTGAATGAGAAATGAATAAGAAAAACATATATAAACATATTTAATAAATATAGCACATATAAATTAAATATATATAATATTATATATTGTTAACACATATGGTTGCAACATGTTATATATAAAAATTCATAATATAGATTTTACTTTGTATATTTCTTATATGTGACAAACTTATATCTTCATTTATCCAGAGGAAGTCTATATGTGATCATAATAAATCCTCTTATATGTGACATATATGGAAACCCATAGGTTACATTTCTGTGTGCGTGTTGAACACCACTTAAACCGTGGGGCGTTTAAAGAAGCTCTGACATTTCGAAGTCAATAATTTGTGGGACATTTATGTCATATGGCATGTTAGCATGCTAATTTTAGCTTAAAGCCCCACACAGAGCTGCTAGCACTGTAGCGCTGTATAGACTTCGTAGTCTTGTGTGATTCATCTTCGGCCGCCAGCTGCACTGCGTCTTTTCCAAATGCTGCTGATATTTCTCTTGTAACAGATTTCCACAACCTCAGCTGTCTTGGCTCTTAAGAGCTTCCACCGAGTGATCGTTGATTTGGACAATCTGAGTCTTTTGTGTCCACCAGATGGGTCAAATCACTGACTGAATGAAGCTGTCCCTGTGAGAGCTTAATGACGATTCACTGTCTGATCCCCTAAGTGCAGAAACAGTTCACATTTTACTGTCATCGGCCAGACATGCATCCATTTATCAACAGAACCACTCTCTGCTGTTGAAGTGGTTTGAGGTTTGACCTACTTTTCACATCTTACGATTCCAGAATCCGCACTCGCCTTTCTTTCTTTAATAAAAGCCTGTTTCCCAATTTCTCTTCATAATGAATCCACTTTCTCTTTTTTGCCGTGATTATGCAACAACATAAGGTCGGTACGGTACATGCCACTGGGCTGCAATGCATCATGGGGACAGTTTTATGAGGCACACACAGTGCTTTGTTCTTATTTACTGTGCACATACAAAGTGGTGATAAAAGACAGAAGCCAACAGAGGAAATGGTGAAGAGAATAAGTAGTAAAAGTCTGGAATATTCCCACACAGAGTTTTTCCTCCTGGCCTCAACAGCTGGACGGCGAGTACGACAATATCAGCTGCTACAACCGAGAAAATATTAGGCAGGGAGCCATGATGAAGGCTGGACACCAAACCTAGCACTGATTATTTAGACTGCTGGACGTCATGAGTCGGCAAACATCATTCACTGTTTGTTCTTCTGCAGTTAATTCTAACTTTCACTTGTCATGTTGCCATATGTAAGGCAAATTCTGACTTTACTCTTCGCATTTTAAAGTTAAGCTCAAATCCATGATCATGATCGGGACTAAACTGGGGGAAAAAACAGGTCAAAACCATAAAAATATGTAAATATGTATGTGAATATGTAAATAAAGATGGATGTAGCGTCTGTGAAGTTACCCACAGGTTTCTGAAGCTCAGAGTGAGCTGCTCCACCGTCGCCATCTTGGCAGTGCCTGACTATGCCCCTAACTCCCAGTTAATCCAAATGGGCGGGGCGTGTGTGCAGCTGAGACTTTGTGCATGCCGGTTTGCGGCAGGTATACGCTCACCCACCTGTCACTCAAACAGGCCACGCCCTCAATCCTCCATAACTTTAGTCCTTAATAAAATGTAAACAGGTGAGTTATATAAACAGGTGTCATGATGGAGGAAATTATCTCTAGAGACCAAAACAGTTTTTGTACCAGGCTGTAAACATGTTGATTTCTGCTGTAAAGTTGGACATTTTAACATGGGAGTCTATGGGGACTGACTCACTGTTGGAGCCAGACTCTAGGGGCCATTAGAGGAACTGCAGCTTCTGGTTCTTCAGTGTTGATGCTTCATTTTTCAGCCCTGGAGTTTGACACTTGGTCAAAACTAAACCCAGAGGAACTTAAAGCTTCTGTGTGAATGTTTTAAGCCATGCTAGCAGCTTGGGTGGCAGTGTAAGTTGTTGGTCGGTCACTCAGTAAATCCATTGACTAGAATGAGGACCACATGGTCGTACGCCTCTGCCAACGAGTCAAGCTGCAGTTTCCATCCATGTCTATTCTAGACTCATATACTGAAGACTTTGAAGGAACTTAATAAAAATGATCGTACAGTGAAGTTGACCCGTGATCGCTTCATCGTTTTTATCCTATTAGACATTTGTGTGAAATTTTGTCATAATCTCCTCCCAAACAGACACAGGCTGAAACCCACTATCAGCCATGATAAATAAACCTGGGTTTTCCAGCGCACCGATATCAGCGTCAGCAACACCTGATTAACGAATAAATCTTAAACTACATGACACCTGGAGGTAAACCAAGGGAAACATTGAAGTTTTGCACTTGCTGAACTGAACTAATCACTTGCTGTAAAGCCAAAATAAATTCTTCTTTTATAAATTGCTTCTGGTTTGAGACAATAACTCTATAATTCCTGGTTATCTTGTAAAAACCGTTTCAACGTCGGTGGCAGAAAAACAAGGCGGTGGAAACAAAAACCGGACATCAGACTGAACATGGGCCCGACTCATGACGTGTGAAGGCAACACTCACAGAGGATTTGGACGGAGGGTTGAGGTCGAGCCAGTGGTCCGTCTCCTGAGGGCCGAGCTGTCGCAGGGAGAGGACGCACTCCGCCGCGGTGCGTTTCCTGGGGTTGTGAGTCTGCAGCCGCAGCACTAAAGCGCTGCAGCGCAACTGATTGAGACGAAGCGTGAACACAAAGGTCTCCATGAAGGACACGTCCTGAGGAGCAGGAGGAACAGGAAGTGAAGATTAGAGACCGTTTCTACTCACTCACTTCTACTCACTTTCATATTAAGAAAGGAAATGTAGAGTGTCTGTACACAAGGGTCAAATCAAGTCAATTTCCTGTTATACTCCTCCTGTTAAACCTCCTCCTGAAACCTAAAGCTTTATTTTTTACCACTGGATTTTGTGCGTCAGGTTTAGAGAAGGTTGTTACCTGACAGGACTCTTTAGTTGAGCTCTTGAACTGAATGGGTTTGGGGATGGTGATGATGCCTTTAAATCCAATCTTTTGTTGTTCCACTCCATCCGGAGGAAGGTTGAGGTCTGAACACTGACGAGAAAAGAGGAAAAATAAAGTGTCAGCCGAGGCAGGTCAGATCTATTTATAGGCTGAAGTACTCTTAGGCAAACAGGTGTGGGACAAACTGCTCTGTTTGACTGTTACCGAGTTTAATATTGTTAGAAACAAAAGGTGCTTTAATGTTTAAAGCACCTTTTGTTTAAGCAGATTTTGCTCCATTTTTGACGTAATGACACACAACAATCGGGGGCATTTGTGAGACCCCAAAGCCAATGTTTGATCATCCAAATGCCCCAATGGATAGTTCAAGTGCCACAGTGAAAACGAAACCCGAACTAGAGAACGTCTCTGCATAAAACTAATGCGGTAATATGATACTACTCATCCGGCCTCACCACACTCAACATACACATCCAAAGACACACACTCTGCCACATCATGACCACAGTGTTAGTTTTCTTTGCAGCGTATCAAGTTACATTAAACACAATCACAGTTTGTTTGGTTTTGAATTTTTTTTATCGTTGCACTTTGACACCACGCTGTATTATTCTAAACACATTTAGTTTACATTGTTCTGTAATCGAGTTTGAAATAATTAACTTCTCTTTGTCTTTGAGTTTCCGTGTCTGCCGTGTCAGTCCTACTTCCTGGTTTGTCCAAAAGAGGCGTACATGTTGAGGTAAGGTCCTGTTTTGTAAGCAGTATTTTTTGAGTAGATTTCTGTTTTGGCTGACCTCTTTTAAAGGCCCAGTTATTTACATCATTTGCTTTTATTCATTTGTATTTTCCACGTGTTTTTGGGGTGAAATAAAAACCCATTTCTGAGAAGTAAACTCGACTGAACGCACTCTGCCTCCGGTTCTCTGTGTGTCAACATCAGTCAGTTCAGTTCTGCTCCTTAAAAATCCACCTCCTGACCGTCTGAGCCAAAGTTAATAGAGCAGTGAGAGGAGCGAACAGAAACCTGTGTTCTGGACGAACAAAGCGTCTGTTGAGAAATGTTACAGCGGAGCACAATGGAGGTTTCTGTCCCGCTTCGCTCGGCGTGTAACCTTACCTGGACCAGAGTGATCCACACCTGCTCCAGAGCCTCCTGGTAGCTGAGTCGGACACATACCTTCCCCAGCTCACGTTCGTCCCCAGACAGGGTGATGGACTCTGTGATGTTTGGGAATCCAGAGGAAAACAGCACAACATGAACAAATCACATGATATAATGTCATTATATAAATATATTTACAGTTTAAAGTCACTTTCTACAGACACTGCTAAACCAAACAGCTATATACATCTGATCCTGCATATTATGTTTCCACTAGGTTCCACTTTAAGCCAAGACCGCCCTTATACAGGTTTTATAAATGTTCTTAATTAGGTTGTTAATTCTAAACACTTTATAATCATAAACAAACAATTATAAACAAATTATAACACAGTTTTCATACATTGATGAAGGCTCACTATTTGGCGAGATCAAGCTAACGCTCACTACTCATTAATCTTACTAATGAGTTACTACCTAATGCTACTCTTGTTGTAACTCATTAAAAACACTTTAAAACAAGACAGTTATAAATGGTAGTAACTCATTAGTAAGACTGAATCTTTCTAAGGGTAGTCTTACTGTAAAGTGGTACCACTTGATCTTGCCAAATAGTGAGCCTGCATCAATATAACTTGTTAATAATTGTTTATTTATGATTCATAAAGTGTCAAGGTTGCGGCAGTGCACGACCTTGACACTTTATGGAAGCAACATACAACATGATGGAAAGAAAAAACATTATCGTCATACAAGTGATTTAATTATGACGATGACGAAGCTGAGCTGATTCTCTGCGTTGAATAACACAGTCTTTATGTGAGAAAGCTTATCTCTGATTTTGAATGATGGACTGAAGTGAAAACCTTTGGAGGTGATTAGTGCGGCCGGCCTTTCAGGTTTGCACAATGCAGAGTGATCTTAATCAGACTTAGTCACGTCGGGGTGTGGGGGGGGGTAAGAGGCCTTTTTCTTTTTCTTTCCTCACTAAGAAGAGGAGGCCGGTGGACGGAGCAGACCCAAAGAGAAAGTTTGAAAAGGAAAGAGGAGATAAATCTGTGTTCCAGTTACCGAGGCTGCTTTCAATGGAGCCCATCACTGAGGACGTGCTGCTGAGGACACTGGACACGGAGTCAAAGCGCTGCACATGAACCCAAACACACACACACACACACACACACAGGAGAAAGTCAGGACAGGTTCACTCATTGTTTCCCACTTGTTTGCCGCTGTCTTGAGCTAAATGCTAACTTCAGAACATTATAATGTTCCTCCATCTTAGCTTAGCATGTTAGCATGCAGCTATTTGGTCATAAACCACAGTACTGGACAAAGTAAACATTTTGATGATTTGCTGATTTTGATGATGATGTTCGATGGAAAGTCGGAGGATCGTGATTCACCCTGAGGAGGACATGAACATCTGCACTATTTCAGTGTCTCCTGAAACAGCGCCCCCTACGGCAGCATGTGTACTGCACCTCAGTTGTCATGGTTACCATAATAAACACACGACACACCGCCGTCGTGGTTACTGCAGTAGCGGTCACGGCTTGGTTAGGTTTAGGAAAACATCATGATTTGGGTTAAAGTAAGTTCTTCCTCAACATTAGACGATCCTTGTTGCCACGGTTACAATATTGACAACGTCGTTAACTTTGTCGAACGCTCGCGGATAAAAGAAACAACGAACGCCGCTCTCCTGCGTCACGTTCATCCCTCCACCACCAACTCCTCCTGACGTGGACGTTGTCTGTCTTTATACTACGTCACCGACACCCATCTCATCGCTCCTGTCATAATTTACTACGACCACTAGATGTCGCCTAGCAACAAAACGTAACCACGGGTCATAACAACCTGCCGCAGAGACAGTCTCACACTATAACCACTCAATAGTTAGTGACATTTCACTCAAAACTACAAACGTGAACCACAAGGTGTCTCTCAAAGAAAAGTCAGAGGATCACCAAAGTCATCAGGGTTCATCCTCCTCAGACTATGAACTGTCTGTACACGAGTTCATGACAATCCATCAGTCGTTCAGTCCGACTCTGAAAGCGAGACTAGCTGCTCTTCTTCACTGTGGAAACCCCGGTTCATTTGTTAACTAATAAATCCATTGCCAAGGTAACTGTATACCTGTTGTGCTTTCATTCCTTACGACTGTTTGCCTGGGATGTTGCTAACTAAACACTGGAGCTAACTGAACTGGAACCGTACACCCGCTGCAGACATCAAAACATATGAAAACAGAAATACTAATGTATCTCCATGTTAGCTCAGAGTATGCTAAACACGAGCAGCATACTGTAATGTTGACTGAGGTTCGGCTGTGACGCGGACTCAGCTTCTCGTGTTAAATGATAATGAATAGTTGACAGACACACTGCACCACATCCTTCATATGACAAAGAAAATACGCCCAGACTTACTCATTGTTGTCCTTGGTGTAATACTGATTAAACACCACTTCGCCCAGTACAATCAACTGGTTCCTTCCTAATCAGAGGTGATGGAGCTGAATCACGTGGCAAACAAGTAGATTCAGGGAGTGCTGAATTCACCACATCATCATTTTTAAAAATTGATTTCCAGAACAGTTACATGGAACCTTAATGACTGAATGCATCAAAAAATGACAGTTATATAATTAAAAGAGTGTAAAAAGACCATTGTTAAAAAAGAAAGAAAACAACATCAACCTCAGATCAGTTGGTAAAAAAATATCTTTCAAATTGAACTTATCTACTTATCGTTAAAGGAACAGTTCGACACTTCGATGCCACTCTTGGCTAAATGGGAAATATGAAGCTACAGCCAGCACCTGGTTAGCTTAGCTTAGCATAAAGACTGGAAGCAGCTAGCCTGTCTCGACTGATGGGTGACGAAATCCATCATCCAGAACCTTGAAAACTCGCCAACTAATCAACTAATCAACTAATCAACTAATCAACACGCTACGTCTCCATCGTTTCACCCGGAAACAAAGTGTGAGAAAAGGCCTTGAAAGGACACATTGTGGTTTTACCAGATGTTAGGTGTTATGAATGTTGGCGGAGACTCCAGGAAGTTACAGACCCAGCCAAAAAAAAAAATTGTCTGACAAATAACTCCTCATAAAACCACACCACGTCAGTTTCACACTTCATTTATTTCATTAATTTAACGACAGCAGCAAACAAGCTGCCGGCCATAGCTTCATATTTAACAGACAGATATGAGACTGATATTAATCTTGTCTCTTAATTAGTGGAGAGAAAGTCTGTCTCTCAAACTGTTGAACTGTTCCTTTAATCTCAGTCGGTCTAAACTGAAAAGTTTTTTTTAATCATCTTGGTTTATTTGAATCAAATATTTGTTTTTAACTACTTAGTTTTTTATTTTGGGTCTTTGTACATTCACTTAATAATTTCCAGTTTTCCAAACGTCTGCTTTATGTCACATCTGGGCCTCCGTACTGCTACAGTACTGTTACTCGATTTCTCGTTTTTACTATTAATAAAGACTCATATTTAAATGCCAATAATTGTTTAAATTTCAAAACTTTCAGAAGTAGTTCATCTATGACATTTTACAGATCATTACCTGCATCCATAAAACCGTACACCCGCCTGTGTTTCAGCTCCTCAGAGTGAGAGGACGTCTTCCTCTCTAAATCAAAATACCAGTTTATTTGGTCTGTTTGCAGTTTTCCACTCGGCTGCTGAGGACGGTGGAAACTATAAAACTATATTTAGTCTTGGTCGACGCGGGGTGAGAAACGCTGTGTGAATACAGATTAGATAGAGAGCCGTCTCACCTGCATGTGACCCTGAGGGCTGGACAGATCAAACATGGAGCTGCTCAGACGCTGCTGGACGCCCGGCTCCAGAGTCCGACCTGGGAGGAGAAACCCAGCAGTTTATGTGAAGATGGTTTAAATGAAGTTCTGTTTCATCTGCAGAGATCTGTTGTTAATCCAGGCATACGTACTGTTTCTTACACTGGAAATTTTGTAAATTACAAAATGGTGAACACCATGTTTGGCTGTAGTTTATGTGTGTACACAAACTTTATATATATATATATATATATATAATCTAATGTCGTTATAAAGTCTTTCAAAAATGAAAAGAAAGTAAAAAGTCCAACATTGTGACGTGCAGGTGAACAGGTCTGAAAGTTTCTACTGTATCTGTCACTGTCAAGGTTTTGTAGATACAAGGAGCCACTGCAGAGCTTCCAAGAGAAGAGGGAGCTGTGAATTTATTTAGTGAAGGGAAACCAAGATTTCAAAATAGAAGCCAGGAACAAAACACCAGAGAACGAAAGAAAACAGTAGAGAACGAGGAAGGGGTGCGGTTGCTGTGTACAGGTGGTCTGCTCTACCTGGGCTCTGTGGACCGGAGTTTCTGCTGTTCAGGTTGTCGCGGCGGGTCGAGCCGGGGGAGATGTACTCGACCATCTGACCCCGATGGAGGCCGGACTCTGGGCTGTAGGTTAAGTGACCAGAGCTCAAAAGCTCCGCCTTCCTCTCTGCGTACGTGCAGCGGGCCGAACCTGCAGACAGAGAGCAGATTCATTTAGAGACAGGATATCCTCCTCGTCTCCTGTGCCATCAGGTGTGAGGTTAAACTGAAGCTGAGATGCACGGAGCTCTGTGGCCGCTCTTGATGTTGTTGATGAGGTTCGTCAGGTGGTACATACTCTGCAGGCCGGACTGGAAGTTGGGGAAGCGGGAGCCTTGGGGCTGGATGTAGGAGGCCCTGAAGGTCGGCAGGACGAACGGCACCTCTCTGCCGTCGGGGGGCAGCTTGGACAGGAGGTAATCCTCTGTGACCCCCCTCCTCCCTTCATCTGACTCCCGCCCTGAGGCCGCTGCCTTGTTAGGGGGCATCTTCAGTTTGATCACTTGAAAGCACAGGAAAGTCAGAAACTAAACGGCCTGTCGAAGCTGTTTGACATGCAGCCGTGCAGGCAGCAGCTTACCTTGGGTCTCCTGCTCCTTCCCCTTTTTCTTCATGAAGTTCTTGCAGCAGTTTTTGACGCACTCCATGGCTGCAACTGGAATTATTTCAATATTGGAATAGTAAGTGGAAATTACAGTTCACACAGTAAACTGTGCCACCAGGGCTGGAACGAGCTGCTCTGGGACTTGATAACACTCTGAATCCCGAAATCTGCACCGGTGACCTCAAATCACCAAAGTCTGTTATTGCCCCTCCAATACAGGTGAGTAGATTTACAGGAATCCCCAGCGTTGCTCCAGTGGTCACTCATGCTGCTGCAGAAATCAAACTTCCCCCAAAAGCCTCAAAATGTACAATTTCATATAAACCCCAAATTTTTCTACTTTTCTTGAATGAAAAAAGTGACAATAACCCAAAACATATTCCACTTGCCTCAAATAATCTGTTGTTCAAATCTTAAAACTTCTTACTTTTGCACCATAATCTCTAATTTACTCCCCAAATATTTCATTTCATACGATCCCACACTTTGTTCCAGATGTTTTCAGGACATAAAGATGCTGTAGTTCCCACATTCCCCAGATTTCATACAGAACCAGTAAAAGGTGTTTATCCCAGGATCTCCAAATTCGTTACAGCGCCTCCACATGTTGATATAATCCCAGAATATGTAATAATGCTCCAAAAAGTTCGTTGTTCTAATAGAGCCTTAGATTTGACAGAGAAATATACATTTGTTAGAGTAAATAGTGAAGATGCTAATCAGAGAGGAAACACTGCTGCAGCTGAGATGAAACTTTGATCATAAAAGAGCTTAATACGGTTAATGAGAGACTGTTCGACAGGAAGTGATCAATTATTTCAGGAGCCCTGAACTCACGGCTCCACCGACACGTTTGACCTTGTGGCGTTTGTTTCTGCTTCGTTCTTCAGGAAGGAATTTTACGTCGGTGTCACTTCGGCTCATTGATCAAACACCAATAATCACATGTAATCATCAGAGACAGACACTTACCCGCGCGCTGTCTTCACTGAGAGGAGGGAAAGTTTGTAGATCCAGAGCAGCAGCTCATTCTCTCACCGACTGACGAGAAATGCCACGGAGCTCAGGTTTACTGTGCTCTCTCTCTCTCTCTCGCTCTCTCTCGCTCTCTCTCGCTCTCTCTCGCTCTCTCTCGCTCTCTCTCGCTCTCTCTCGCTCTCTCTCGCTCTCTCTCGCTCTCTCTCGCTCTCTCTCGCTCTCTCTCGCTCTCTCTCGCTCTCTCTCGCTCTCTCTCGCTCTCTCTCGCTCTCTCTCGCTCTCTCTCGCTCTCTCTCGCTCTCTCTCGCTCTCTCTCGCTCTCTCTCGCTCTCTCTCGCTCTCTCTCGCTCTCTCTCGCTCTCTCTCGCTCTCTCTCGCTCTCTCTCGCTCTCTCTCGCTCTCTCTCGCTCTCTCTCGCTCTCTCTCGCTCTCTCTCGCTCTCTCTCGCTCTCTCTCGCTCTCTCTCGCTCTCTCTCGCTCTCTCTCGCTCTCTCTCGCTCTCTCTCGCTCTCTCTCGCTCTCTCTCGCTCTCTCTCGCTCTCTCTCGCTCTCTCTCGCTCTCTCTCGCTCTCTCTCGCTCTCTCTCGCTCTCTCTCGCTCTCTCTCGCTCTCTCTCGCTCTCTCTCGCTCTCTCTCGCTCTCTCTCGCTCTCTCTCGCTCTCTCTCGCTCTCTCTCGCTCTCTCTCGCTCTCTCTCGCTCTCTCTCGCTCTCTCTCGCTCTCTCTCGCTCTCTCTCGCTCTCTCTCGCTCTCTCTCGCTCTCTCTCGCTCTCTCTCGCTCTCTCTCGCTCTCTCTCGCTCTCTCTCGCTCTCTCTCGCTCTCTCTCGCTCTCTCTCGCTCTCTCTCGCTCTCTCTCGCTCTCTCTCGCTCTCTCTCGCTCTCTCTCGCTCTCTCTCGCTCTCTCTCGCTCTCTCTCGCTCTCTCTCGCTCTCTCTCGCTCTCTCTCGCTCTCTCTCGCTCTCTCTCGCTCTCTCTCGCTCTCTCTCGCTCTCTCTCTCTCCCTCTCTGACTCTCTAATTCCCGGACAAAGCCATGTTCACTGTTATTTTATTTTCCTCTTCCTTAATCGAGATCCTCTCCCTGTCTTTTATTTATTTAATTTTTTTTTTCTGACTTTAATCTCAAAATTCAGAAAAAAAGTCAAATTTATAGAAAAAACCCGTATGTCCTTTAATCCTCTTCCGTACATTTACACCTTCTTATAGTGACATAAAAATACTGTAAAAACGTGTTGAGGACATTTAGTGAAAATCCACCTCAAACTTTATTAATTGTTAAAGGTCCCAAATATTTGAATATTAGTTTTCCATAATCCACAAATCTGACACAATGTTCCTGTGCTGCTTCAAAGACTTGATTTAATCCCACAACCGTTTGATTGGAAATAACCCATAGGTTTGTTAGTTCACCCCAAATCCAAATGTTCATATTTAATACTCCAAGATTTGTTGCTATAACGATAATAATAGTTTTTGTGGACACCCAAACCCCCCCCCCCAATATACTGTCCCACAGTTTGTTAAAATCCCCCAAATTTATTCTAATGTTCCCAAAATATATTTGATTTAATTTCTTGCTGTTCCCCCCAAAACATGTGACATCATAAACCCAAAGCAGAGTTCAGGAGGCGGCTCACGCCGGGGACAGTCGTGTGGTGAAGACATTTATTGGTCTAAAAAAAGAAACTGTGATCAATAATTCAGTTAATGGACTTGATTGTTACATCATTTCAAATATCGCCGCTCCAAATACACAATTACACTTCTGCTCAGATAACCTGTTCTCCTCCAGCTCCTCCACCAGGCTCCTCCACAGCTTCTCTGACCGGATGGACATTCACAGACAAGTGTGTGTGTGTGTGTGTGTGTGTGTGTGTGTGTGTGTGTGTGTGTGTGTGCATGCGTGCGTGCGTGTGTGTGTGTGTATACACATGCATGTGACCGTCGGTGTGTGTGTGTGTGTGACACTAGTGAGAAGCAGGTCAGCGTAGTGCACTGACACGAGCCTCTGCAG